GGCATTTTCTTAAATGGTTGTAACTTGGAAAATTGAAGTCAGAATCAGCTCAAACTTGCTACACAGTATAAGGACATCAATATGTATCGAAAAATGTAATAAAAATTTGGGGTGATTTCGGAGCCATTTTTTGGAAAAAACCATGGGCTATAGCCTTGGGTATTTTTTCAGAATTTTGGCGTTTTCTTAAAATGGTTGTAACTTGGAAAATTGAAGTCGGAATCGGCTCAAACTTTCTACACAGCATAAGGACATCAATATGTATCGAAAAATGTAATAAAAATTTGGGGTGATTTTGGAGCCATTTTTTGGAAAAAACCATGGGCTTATAGCCTTGGGTATTTTTTCAGAATTTTGGCGTTTTCTTAAAATGGCCGTAACTTGAAAAATTGAAGTTGGAATTAGCTCAAACTTTCTACACAGCATGAGGACATCAATATGTATCAGAAAATGTAATAAAAATTTGGGGTGATTTTGGAGCCATTTTTTCAAAAAAAGCCATGGGCTATAGCCTTGGGTATTCAATACATGTACAATGTATGCTTCCTCTTTTTTTCCTCACCTAGCCATTTCAGCTTCTTCTGGGAGGACTCCAGGCAACAAGGTTGCAAGAGGAGAAAGGAAAGTACCTTCATACATAGTACCTTCAGAATTATCGGCCATCTGTACATTTTAATAAAAATATTATCATATTATTGTGGAAATATTTTTATTATTGGGTCCAGTAGCTAGACCTGTAAATTTACTTTTTTGGTTTTTATAGGGTGGCTGTGATCCTTTATATCCTCGTGCAATTTTGTCCTACTAAGATTCGTTATAACACCAGCTAGGCTACAGAAACGAAAACACAAAAGTAGGAAAAATAGACAGAAAAACACAGTTCGCAATGCTGAATATATTAATACAGTATGCTGGCCTTCTTTACAAACTTTATTTACCTTTCCATTGTATCTATCGGTCCCCATCCCCTAGAAAAGAACTTTATGTTAGAAAATAGACTCCTATAAATCCTGTCACCGGCCGCCATTTTAAAGCACACCCTTTTTAGCCACGCCTTTAAATGCACCGTAAACTTTCCGTTTTATACTTTTCTAATTTTAAAAATAACCAGCCCCACCCTCCTCTTCTGCAAACTGAGAATGAGCTCTGATGCTGGAAAGCAAGAAAAAGGCATTATTACAAGCGAGGGAGCTGTGATTGGCGTTAAGAACAAAGTAAGGGACGGCCTCGCTGCTTTTGAAGGCAAAGAAGCAACGCAATGGGTAAGTAAAAACTTCCTTCATTGCAATACATTTCATTTCTCCTATTTGGAATAGATACAGATGGAGGAAAGCAAGATAATAGTATACACTACTAGTTTCAGCGGAGTGAGGAGGGCACACGAAGACTGCAAGTACATTCTTGGCATATTTCACAACCACAGAGTCAAAGTTGAAGAGAGAGATGTTTATGCCAGCCAGAGCTATCACCGTGAATTAGAGGAAAGGCTTAAAGGGGCTGACTTTACTTTGCCTCAAGTATTCATTAATGGACAACATATAGGGGTAAATATGCATAATAATAATTACATGCAATAATACACAACACAGTCTTGATACGTAAAAATTAGATTATGCACAATTATTTTTCTAAAGCATAATTAATTTTAAAGCATAAATTTAAGATACCGTATAACTCTTTATTTTGGCAGCGCTTTATTTTGCGATTTTGCTGTAAAATTGTAATTGGCGGTTTTTAATTTGGCGATTTTTGTGTACACGTACATTACTGAGCATGCGCATTAATGATTGGCGGTTTTAATATTGGCGATTCTGCTTCCAAACCGCCAATCGCCAAAATAAAACTCCACCAAATTAAAGCGTTATATGGTACATGGCATAATAGTTTTTGTGAATCCTATAGGATAAGGAGATGGTCGATGAACTAAATGAAATAGGAGAACTAAAGAAAATGCTTCAAGAGTTCCCAGTGAGCTTTTAATAATCTTTTTGAATTTAATACTCTGCCCTTGTCTTTTTTTAGAAAATTAATACTTCCATAACATGTCAAATGTGTGGTGGTTATGACTTAATTCCCTGCATTAAATGTGGAGGGAGTAAGAACAGTGTCTTTAATAATTTCACTTCAGAGTTCCGTGCACTTAAATGCACAGCATGTGATGAGAATGGCCTACAGCCTTGCCCTCATTGCAAGAGCTAGTGACATCATCAATTTATACTCTAATTTGCATCAATGAATTTCACACACTCAATTTAATGCATGCAGAAATTAGTGTAGATTTATAGTAAAACATTAGAACACGAACACATCATCCTTTACCATTCTGTTTACCAAAATCCATCCTTTGGATTTTGGCACATGATCTACAAATGAATGACTGACTTGCCTAAATTTATAATTTTTATTATTTTTTCAAAATTTATTCTTACAAAAATGACAACTACATGTACTATTTGTTTGTAGTTTGAACATACAAGTCAATGATGTCATATATAGAATCATACTGCTCCTGTAAAACAAAAATAAAAAATTATAATAATATTAAAATCTATGCTTGATTCATCACATACCTGTGTAGTGACAGCTCCTGGTTTACTTCTTCTGACAGTTTTAGTTACTTGAAATACATCCACTACACCTTCTTTTATACACTGCTCTAAAGCAATACTCACTGAACAATAGACTCCTGAACGACTCACTGTATCACTATAGAACACACACGTCAAAATTTTACTAAAATTCATGATTAATATTTCTCCTTACCTACAATGTACCACTACTGGTCCTCTCTTTTGTCTGTTTCTAACATCATTAATTACTTGTAGAATGGTACCAGCTTTTCTAACAACTCCATCTTGAGGCCAATCTGTCACTTGAAATTGTAATACACTTCTGGTCTCTTTATCAAAGGATAATTTAAGATTTCTTTCTGTATAACCATTTGCACTCCTTTCATTATTGACTTCCACAGAAAATTCACCATGTGTCTTTGAGCCAGTCCAATATTGATAGCAGCAATCCTACAAGCTTATAATAGGATTATACTAGTTCAGTTATGTAATACTTCATCTCCACACAGCATGACAATAGTAGACACTTTATAATCTACCATCATTTTCCAAAAGTCTCTCACAGTGTTTTCCATA